CGTCAATCTGGCGAATCTTAAGATTAAGACTCTAACCTCACAAACTTGAAAACTCAAAGAACGTTTCAGAAGTCTCTTAGTCTCAACTTGAGACTTCCAGACTCTCAAGTGTGAGGAGACTAATCTCGAAATGAGATCAAGCTAGAGCTACAGTATTGGTTCTGAACTAAGCGCCGTTTGGGAAACTTACAGCGAAGAACAGAAGTTGTACGTATTTTTTCCCAAAATCAAATTAAACACAAAGTGAGAAAAATGCTTTAGAACTTCATTAACCGGGGATCGTGCTCACAGGGTTTGTGGCACGCGATTATCTACTTCGGCGAAGAATTCTGATGTATTTATCCGCATTTCCGCGAATTAGGGAGGGGATAAACTGATTGGGCCTCACCGCAATCTCAAATAAGTCCTTGAGGACGTGGGTTAGTGGAACGAACTAACGCCCTTGCTCACCTTGCTCAAAAAAACTAACGTTAGATCATAAATGTTCCCAAATTGAGGGCGAGTCCGAGGGCTTGAGTAAAGTTTACTCAGTAAACTAACCGGTTCTCATCCTTGAGTGAGACTATCTTATCTTAGGTTCTCGAGTTCTTTACCGTTTGAGGGTAGCCGCTGATAAAAGATTCGCACCGTCAATTACCAGTCGACATTCCCAGATTTTGTAAAATCCTTGAGAAAATACATGCATACTGCGATGATCATAATATGATCTATGCGCTATTATAGTCCTTGTTCTCTCATGGTCTCGCATACTGTTGCCGTCATACATGGAGCTGATAAAGATGATTGAATGTCACCCAAAACGTAGTTTTGGGAAAAAATGAGAAATATTTCAAATTTTTCTGAAAATTTCTGAAAAATTCAGTAATATTTCAGGTGAAATATTTCACGGTCTGGCGACACCTTTCTTCAGCCACCCTGAAAAGATTTGAGATAATCTGCATGTTGTAATTCTCTACAACCTCGAGATCAATTTCCCGTCAGACAAGGCATGCAAGCAACTTCACAGACAGTGCTTTCATCCCAGTCTCAGACTGGCAGTCTGCTTGATTTGCAAGACTTGAAAAGCCTGTGAGATCCAATGTAAGAAATGTAAGTATAATTGTGAGACCGGCGGCCAATCTTTCAGTGCACTTTCGAAGTGCAACAGTCACTGGGCTACACAACCACTTTGACTGGTTGACAGTGTTAAATTAGCGTCTTCAGGCACACTCTAACGAAATGATAAAGAGAGAAAGAGCAAAGAAAATTTAACAATATGTTGCTGTTTCGACAACACCTGCTTAGGTCTAGCCTTCTTGAGGCACCTTTTAGCCAAGATCGCAAGTTGCGAGTCGCAACGCAATATTTGTCTCTCACCGGTCTGGGTGAAAGTTCGCTACGAAGTTCAGGAAGACAGTCGTTTCGTGAACAGCACTCGCAAGTCAAGTTAAACGTCGCCAATGATCGGTTTTACCTTCGTTAACGTGTCAACTCGGAGAAAACACGAGCGGGGCCCGTCGCTACGCTCCGGAGTGACTCCGGCGGAGTCGCTACGCTTTCAAGATGCTGACGTGTACAATATCTCTTGAGAGTGATGTTCAACAACAAATTATCTCTAAGCTCGTAGGTGCTTCAATAGTCCAAGCATCGTAAGAGAAAGCTTTTGGTATCTGGCAGATTGTTTTCTAGTGGACTCGTTGTAGGGTTCGAGACAGACGTGAACTAAGTGGTGGTCGTAGCGCTCAGATGAGGAGCCTTAGTATGAGTGGTTAGATGAAGTAGTGAGGTTGGAGTGACGGCGAGGAGCGCTAACTTCTGAATCTCAAAGGTACTCGTGTTATAAATCACGCCATGTGACTCGGAGCATGTCCCAAGACGGAATTTACAAGTCCGAGTGTCGTTCCGAGTACTCCGACTCGGCACTCGGAGAGTAGGAGCACTTGAATGCACGAAAATCTTTCGAGCCCGGGAAGTCTGCTTTTCCGACTTCTCGGACTCGGAGAGGTGAGCACTTTGATTGGCTTCCGAAGACATACGCGTGGATCAAATCAAATCAGACCGACTCGGCGACTGAGACACTGCTTCCGTTAATATCAACGTGGCTCGTCTTGTGCTCTCCGCTACTCTCACCATGCAGTGAAATGGGTCAACCTTATGGTTGCTCAACACTCAACACCAATTAACCATCAACAGATCGGTATATCACGGTTCCCGCGTGTTTGAGTCTGAGGCGGGATCTCAAACATCGTCATAGTATGACGTTCATACAGCCCCCATTTGGTTTGCAGGATAATACGCGTACGGCCGTTATGATATGATGAATTGTCATCGGCAGATATAATACGCCCATATGTCTCCACGCACTGCGTGTCACGCAGCGCTTACAATCGTGTATCAACTTCTATCGGTGTTTAAGCGCACTCCTATTTGCAGATTTGCTCCTAATTGACTTCAAGGTGAACACGACAGCGTAATCACGTTTCGAAAGAATCTTGTTCCGCATACGATAGGCAGCATACTTGATTTAGAACCGACCTCAGAATCATTTTCTTAGACAGTTGACTCAGCACACTTGACTCAAATAAGCTGACGGCCAAGTGCGGTGCTCATGCGTGAAGTTAACGTCCTCGAACGAGCACCCTCAAGAAGAAACTGCCAACAAGTCGAACATCTCAAAGGGATTTTTAATGTGATAGGACGGAATATGTGACTAGGAACCACTGGTTACCACTTTGTGATAGATTGTTTTCATCCAGCTCAATGTTCTGTGAGGCACAGGCGGCATCAACCAGGCGCGTTTGGCGCTCTTATGATGCGGAAACATCAGATACTGGATCAAGGATAGAAGAGCTATCACACCCGCACGGAAGGACGGTGAGGTGGTGGCTCTCGAACGAACAGGGTCAAGACAGCAGAAATGAAGCCCCCATCAAGTTGCAATGAAAGGTTACATCATATCTCATAATGAGATTCTCATTCAACTCGATGTATCATCAACAAGCACAATCCACGTCGGTCGGGACTAGACCGAAGAGACCGGATCCACACTTCCCAGTTTCCAAGTTACAGCGGAATCCACCAGTGAATGCGAAACCGATACAGGCGTTGGGTCCACAAGATGAAGCAGACACGTAGGCTAGGGATAGGAAAGCTACTACGGCGGTACGGAAGAACATCAATGATGGTGAAACAACTGGTAAGTAGTCCGATCCAACACCGAAAGGCTCACGGTCAAGCCCTCCCGAATGATTGTAAAACGTCGTTACCTGCGAAGTCGAGGAATGACCGTTGTGGAGCGAACACGTTCGATGCTCGTTGTGGAGCTCGCTCTGTGAGGCAGAGAGCGTCACCTTTTTGTACATGCGTACAGACATTCTGCTTGTGCTTGCGTGCCAGAGTATGAACAAAGGATACATTCCGTACTATTGATCTTGAGCAGTGACCGTTACTAGCTCCGAAGTCCGTAGCCACCTTGGCTCAAGGTCTTAGTGTGCATTTGGGTCGCATCTCTCCAGCTAATTTCGGGTCATGTTGACATAAGGGAACGACAGGGGGCACCGGACATCAACAGCGCTGAGCGCGTGACATCTACAGAGTCTGCCACTCGAGCCTAGTGGTATTAACTATCGACACTACCGATTCGGCGGAGCTACTTTCAACATCACTACTAGTGATGTTGAAAGTAATTCCGCTGAGACGGCTCCATAGACCGTCACCAAATAACGTGTAATGTACACGTTAGTAGGGACAGCGCTACTTGTATTCTCGCTCGCCTCCTATCTTGTTCTTTTGTTTTGTTCGGTCACTCGACCATTATAGCAACGCGATCCGACGGCTACGAAGAATATGACCATATGCCTACTATTTTCCCTGATGACCCTCTCCCAAGAAGATCGGCCTCGCTTTCTTGGGCCTGTCCCCCCCGTTGGAATCGGCGATCAAGCGAAAGCATTCGTAAGAAGACGACCATCACTAAAGGCGTACCTGGAGGCGGAACTATGCCCGAAAAATCGGTTGGATCATGAAGGGAAGGGTAAAGATCGCGGTGGTTCTACTCGTAAGACTATCCATAAATCTGATACGGTGGCCCTTCGCTCCGGTAGGAACGTGGAACCCTAGGAAATTCTCAAACTGGTGTAGTTCCGTGTACCACTCCGTGGCATAATGCCACGAGGGATCATATCTTGTCCCTTGACTCAAGGGACAAGATATGATCCCCGATGGTCCTAGGCAGGAGTGCCTGGCTTTTCGCCGGCTCATAAGACACTCCTGCTCTGGTAGCCAGCAGTAGAATGTGGTGTCTGCCACCGTTTCACCACAGACGGGCCAGCACCGCCAGACACCACAACCGTTGTGTCATCCGCATAGAGGGTCAGGCTCACGCCTTCCACCTCCATATTTGCGAAGTCATCCACAAGCGGCAGGGTGGATAGAAGGAATAAAAAGCGGTCCAAGGCACTGCCTTGGGGGACCCCCCGTTGGAGCTTCAGACTGGCTTCGTCAGCACCATAGACAGCTAAAACACTCTGATCCCTTAAATAGCCTTCTACAAAGTCCAAGATATCGCGGAACATTGTATCGAACCAGGGTTGCCAGAATGTGGCTGTTGAACGCGTTGAACCGAGTTGAACGCGTTTTGCACGTCTAGTTAAACTAATGCAATATGCGCGCGCTTGCCCCTTTTTCCTCCTGCCCTGAACGCCTCGACTACGCGCAGGACAGCAGAGTCAACCGATTTTCCCTTGCAGAATCCATGGACAGTCGGAGGGTCCAATCGCTTCTGGATCTGCGGGCAAGATGCAAGCCGTTCTACTATGGGACATTCGAACAGCTTGCTACCTGAACCGACCAGACAGACGGGCCTCCAGCCGTTAGGCTTGGTTGGGTCTCTTCCGGCCTTATGGATAAAGAATTTCTTTGGATGAATTCCATCCGTCAGGATATATACCAAACTCAAAGACTTCAGTGAACTGCGCACACCAGTTGTCCTTCAGCACCTCGAGAATATCGAGAATGATGCCGTTAGTGATATCATCCACACCGGGAGCCGCGCCCCTCCGTAGTCCCTTGGCCGCTCCTCTGAGCTCCGAATGAGTGACCGCTGGAGCTGGGACGGTCCGCGGCGGTAGTACCAAGGCATCGAGCTCCGCAGCCCTGTCAGGATCACGGCAAAAGAGCCTGCGTAGGAGAAAGTCCGCCTGATTCGCACCCTACGGGCACATGGCCGCAGGAGGGATCTGAGGACAACCTCTTTTAGCACACCGAGAGTAGTGCTGCAGATCCTTGAAGAATCTACGAACAGCTACCCTCTTAGCCTCTTTGATAGCTGTGCCGAATTTGCGTCGCGGCTTTCTCGATAATGCGCCGTTGAGGCTGCATCCGGGCCGTTCAGCCTCTTATGACGGTAGAACGTCCGCTGCTCCTTTTTGAACTGCGCCTTCAGCCTAGATAGCTTGCTCGTTCACCAGGTGGTGTCAGAGGGAGCTGGGGCTTCAGGCGTGACCCGTTTCATCAGGGTGCTCGAGGAGCCCGTGATACCTTGCAAAGGAGTATCAAAGGGAATCCGAAAAGCACCATCAATAACCTTGGCTGCATCTACGAGGCGATGGGCCGATCGTCGCGGCACACGATTGCCATCCTGACTATCTACCTCTGTGCAGAGCAACCTGTAGGCTGATCCGCAAAGATCGTCCACCACCTCCCATTGAGGCGAAGCGCCATCTCTGGGAGTACCGTACAATAGGGTGAGGTCAATCCACGAGTGATACCTTTCGGACTCAAAGGTAGGAAAGGATTCGTCGTCATTGAGAATTCGAATCTCCTTCTCCGGACACCAGTCCACGAGTGCCTCACCACGCCACCAGGCCTGCTTATATAGGTTGTTGACAGTTAGCTTCGCGCCCCACGCTATGTGCCATGCATTAACATCGACACATATGAAGAGTGGAACGGACACAGGCCATGTCGATATGACCTGGTCAAATTCAGAGAGCGTCATTTCCCTCCTTTGCATGTCAGTGCCGTGGAGGTACCATGATGCTACACCATAGGCTATGGTCCATAGCTGCCTTCCTTGACCACGACAAGGTCTCGGGAAGCAAATATCGTGTGGCAAGGAATGCCACGTCTGGACAAAATACAGGCCTCGTCGTTCTTAGGTCAGCCGTGGTATTGATAACCAACAAGTTTAGGAGAACCGGAGCATGGCTCCTGAAGGCATCCCATGTCTACGAAAGAATTACGCAGCCGGGACTGGAGTGAATCCAAAGCCACTAGCCGATGCCCTTGGTTATGCTGTAGAACCCTAATCATTGAGATGAGGCAGCATTTCCGAAGTCCGTGCGGACCCACTGGCGTCTAGCAGAAGCAGCTAGACTTTTGCAAACGCCGTCCGTGCACTCGTGATCCACCTTTCGGTGGACTCGGGCGTCCGGGTTGGACGCATCCAAGTCGAGACAGTTTGCGCATTTGCGCGCTGCGCCAGGACCAACATTTAGTCACCAAATTGAGCCGGACAGGCTTGCCTTTCGTGACCGTAGGCTGCACAACGCGTGCAGCATACCTTGGTCGCGTCCTGCCTGTGGGGACAGGACGGACCTATGTGTCCAATCTTAGTACATCTGTAGCACATCAATGGCATTCGTGAAGTCTGCCATCTGGAGCACAGATGATTCAGTACCAAGCGAGTCTTGCCCTCTCCACCAGCCGCAAGACGGTGATAGAGAGTTGGGAGACTGCCAAGACCATACTTTGGCTCCTCCAAAACACGGAAGAGATCAACTCGCCATTGATGTCCTTGGTCCAGGTCGGATTACCTTCCTTAACCATGCGGCATACCTGGTCGATAGTGATACCACGGGCAAGCGCAGAGCTAAAGCAGATAACCCGCGGCCACAGACCCGAACAAATCTTAGCCATGTAACTCTGCATGCTGTTCAAGGAGTGAACACATATGAAACCATGAGCCTCGTCGCCGAGGACGAGTCCCATGCCTCCCTTGATCGGGAAGATGGAGCTGATGGCGCCCCATTTGCCCTGCGAGGGAAGGCCAGATCGGAGGATGGCGCCTCATTACTATCCCAAACCGTAGCAAAATTCCTTAACCAATAAGCCGGTGAGCTTGTCCAGGGCGTCGTCAAGACGCTCCAGGCCGTGGAAACAACCCTAGGGCGCTGTCATTTCTCCCAGTGCTAGTGCTGGCCATTGACCTCTCATAAGCTTCATTTCAATTTCCGAAATGTCACTATCGTGAACCGAGACACCGCCAAGAACGGAGTTTTCGAGCGAATGCACAGACACGTCCTCACACTCAGACTCGCCATCCGTCATCGAATGCCACGGAGTGGTACACGGAACTACACCAGTTTGAGAATTTCCTAGGGTTCCACGTGCGCTACCGGAGCGAAGGGCCACCGTATCAGATTTATGGATAGTCTTACGAGTAGAACCACCGCAATCTTTACCCTTCCCTTTATGATCCAACCGATTTTTCGGGCATAGTTCCGCCCCCAGGTACGCCTTTAGTGATGGTCGTCTTCTTACGAATGCTTTCGCTTGATCGCCGATTCCAACGGGGGGACAGGCCCCAGAAAGCGAGGCCGATCTTCTTGGGAGAGGGTCATCAGGGAAAATAGTAGGCATATGATCATATTCTTCGTAGTTGTCGGATCGCGTTGCTATAATGGTCGAGTGACTGAACAAAACAAAAGAACAAGATAGGAGGCGAGCGAGAATACAAGTAGCGCTGTCCCTACTAACGTGTACATTACACGTTATTTGGTGACGGTCAATGGAGCCGTCTCAGCGGAGTTACTTTCAACATCACTAGTAGTGAGGTTGAAAGTAGCTCCGCCGAATCGGTAGTGTCGATAGTTAATACCACTAGGCTCTCTCGACGGAGTGGCAGAACTCTGTAGATGTCACGCGCTCAGCGTTGTTGATGTCCGGTGCCCCCTGTCGTTCCCTTATGTCAACATGACCCAACATTAGCTGGAGAAATGCGACCCAAATGTACACTAAGACCTTGAGCCAAGGTGGCTACGGACTTTGGAGCTAGTAACGGTCACTGCTCAAGATCAATAGTACGGAATGTATCCTATGCTCATACTCTGGCACGCAAGCACAAGGAGAATGTCTGTACGCATGTACAAAAAGGTGACGCTCTCTGCCTCACAGAGCGAGCTCCACAACGAGCATCGAAAGTGTTCGCTCCACCACGATCATTCCTCGACTTCGCAGATAACGACGTTTTCAAGCAATCATTTGGGAGGGCTTGACCGTGAGCCTTTCGGTGTTGGATCGGACTTCTTACCAGTTATTTCACCATCCTTGATGTTCTTCCGTACCGCCGTAGTAGCTTTCCTATCCCTAGCCCACGTGTCTGCCTCATCATGTGGACCCAACGCCTGTATCGGTTTCGCATTCACTGGTGGATACCGCTGTAACTGGGAAACTGGGAAGTGTGGATCCGGTCCCTTCGGTCTAGTCCCGACCGACGTGGATTGTGCTTGTTGATGATACATCGAGTTGAATGAGATATGATGTAACCTTTCATTGCAACTTTCTCGATCGGTGCTTCATTTCTGCTGTCTTGACCTGTTCGTTCAGAGCCACCACCTCACCGTCCTCCCGTGTGGGTGTGATAGCTCTTCTATCCTTGATCCAGTATCTGATGTTTCCGCATCATAAGAACGCCAAACGCGCCTGGTTGATGCCGCCTGTGCCTCACAGAACATTGAGCTGGATGAAAACAATCTATCACAAAGTGGTAATTAGTGGTTACTAACCACATATTCCGTCCTATCACAATAAAAATCCCTTTGAGGTGTTCGACTTGTTGACAGTTTCTTCTTGAGGGTGCTCGTTCGAGGAAGTTAACTTCACGCATGAGCACCGCACTTAGTCGTCAGCTTATTTGAGTCAAGTGATCTGTCTAAGAAAATGATTCTGAGGTCGGTTCTAAATCAAGTATGCTGCCTATCGTATGCAGAACAATGATTCTTTCGAAGCGTGATTACGCTGTCGTGTTTACCTTGAAGTCAATTAGGAGCAAATCTGCAAATAGGTGTGCGCTTAAACACCGATAGAAGTTGATATACGATTGTAAGCGCTGCGTGGCACGCAGTGCGTGCAGACATATGGGCGTGTTATATCTGCCGATGACAATTCATCATATCATAACGGCCGTACGCGTATTATCCTGCAAACCATTGGTTTGAAACCAAATGGGGGCTGTATGAACGTCATACTATGACGATGTTTGGGATCCTGCCTCAGACTCAAACACGCGGGAACCGTGATATACCGATCTGTTGATGGTTAATTGGCGTTGAGTGTTGGGCAACCATAAGGTTGACCCATTTCACTGCATGGTGAGAGTAGCGGAGAGCACAAGACGAGCCACGATGATATTAACGCAAGCAGTGTCTTAGTCGCCGAGTCGGTCTGATTTGATTTGATCCACGCGTATGTCTTCGGAAGCCAATCAAAGTGCTCACCTCTCCGAGTCCGAGAAGTCGGAAAAGCAGACTTCCCGAGCTCGAAAAAGTTTCGTGCATTCAAGTGCTCCTACTCTCCGAGTGCCGAGTCGGAGTACTCGGAGCGCCACTCGAACTTGTAACTTCCGTCTTGGGACATGCTCCGAGTCACATGGCGTGATTTATAACACGAGTACCTTTGAGGTTCAGAAGTTAGCGCTCCCCATCGTCACTCCAACCTCACTACTTCATCTAACCACTTATACTAAGGCCACTCACCTGAGCGCTACGACCACCACTTAGTTCACGTCTGTCTCGAACCCTACAACGAGTCCACTAGAAAACAATCTGCCAGATACCAAAAGCTTTCTCTTACGATGCTTGGACTATTGAAGCACCTACGAGCTTAGATAATTTGTTGTTGAACATCACTCTCAAGAGATATTGTACACGTCAGCATCTTGAAAGCGTAGCGACGGGCCCCGCTCGTGTTTCCTCCGAGTTGACTCGTTAACGAAGGTAAAACCGATCATTGGCGACGTTTAACTTGACTTGCGAGTGCTGTTCACGAAGCGACTGTCTTCCTGAACTTCGTAGCGAACTCCCACCCAGACCGGTGAGAGATAAATATTGCGTTGCGACTCGCAACTTGCGATCTTGGCTAAAAGGTGCCTCAAGAAGGCTAGACCTAAGCAGGTGTTGTCGAAACAGCAACATATTGTTAAATTTTCTTTGCTCTTTCTCTCTTCATCATTTCGTTAGAGTGTGCCTGAAGACGCTAACTTAACACTGTCAACCAGTCAAAGTGGCTGTTGTGTAGCCCAGTGACTGTTGCACTTCGAAAGTGCACTGAAAGATCGGCCGCCGGTCTCACACTTATACTTACATTTCTTACATTGGATCTCACAGGCTTTTCAAGTCCTGCAAGTCAAGCAGACTGCCAGTCTGAGACTGGGATGAAAGCACTGTCTGTGAAGTTGCCCGCATGCCTTGTCTGAGGGGAAATTGATCTCGGGGTTGTAGAGATTACAACGTGTAGATTATCTCAAATCTCTTATCAATGAAGACTGTTCCACCTCGACGTTGTTATTACGGATGGTATTTGATAATCAAATTTTGATTATCAAATTTCGATAGTATCCATTTCTTCTACTATTCGTGTCCGTATTGCTCTCCGACTCACACAAACTCAAAATCAGATCAGTGTTGCCGGAAGTGGCGAATCAGAAACATTCGTGACATCACTCCGTGAACATGAATCGTGCCTTAGCCGCCGGAGACAAACGGCCCAGCGCGGCGGGGTTGGCCCGAACCCCAGCGCTTTCGAGAGAAGATCGCCCCTGAGGAATTATCTCCAAGTGGAGAGTGCTTACAGGCGATGTTACATACCACATCGAAAACCTCTTCCGCTCCGTCGTGTAACACGGTATCCAATACGCGAACAATCGCGTTGGCGAACATCACAGCTTGACGTGAATTGCACCTGAAGAACAACAACAGACATGTCCAAGGGCTAAGGTGCTTTGCTTTACTCATCCAATGAGCCTTTGAAGGTTGATGCCAATGCAAGCCACCAAGTTGCATCACCTACACGGAAATGTCCCGCGCCGAACCTGATGAAATCGAGCTGCAGAGCAGTTGTCGGGAAATCCATCATACGCCGCCAGGCTCGCTTCCTGCAATCCCAAAGTGGAGTTGGAGGCGGCCTTAGCGATAAGTTGAAGGACATGTTGGATCAGATCATCTGCATGAATGTGCGCCTTCGCCCACGAGTAGCTGCAAACAAATAGTCGCACTTATACAACGACAATGGTCAGTTTCCTACAGTATCATAGAGGCTTCACGAGGCGTTAAAACCTCCCTGGCTTCCGTTTGACGCTCCGCGTGAATGAGCCGAATCAGTATCGCTTCGCCGAACGCTGCAAATATCTGAGTAACTTTCCTTGATGCTGTGTAGCTTCAAGTAGACCAACCTCCGGTTCCCTGATGTTAAGGAGAGCCATCGCATGCGTGCATGTAACAATTGATTGCATTCCACGGTCAATCTCAGCTTGTCGCGGTCGCCGGGCTGCGGCCAGTGATAGTGCCTATGTCGAAGTCTGCTGTGAACTGAGATCAATAAGCACTCCCTACAATGCGATTGAGGCCTGGTAACAGCGTTCGATCAATCAACTTCACTCGATTATGCGACATCAAATGATGAGGAATTCTGCTCACACTTGATAACAGCAGCGATACGATACGCAGCGGTGCCTGACAGTCCAAGATAGGCGGGGCGGGTGAAGGGACCTACGTGACTAACAATGTACGTGTGCAGCTGCTCGCCTTCTTCAGTGATACCAGCGATCGCTATCTCAAGCATATCTTCCAGGGAACTCAGAGCTCCGGAAGCTCCTTGATGAGAAACTAGTTCACTGTGAATGCGTGTCGCCCCGGAGAGCATCTGATCCGCACGTAACGAGACAGAGAGATGAACGACTCGTAGTAGTAGTACGAGAGCTATCCTTGTGGAGTGAGTGTTTGGACTACATCCGAGTCTGACAAATGAAGTTGTTCGCCAATATAAATATAATATTTCCATTACCAGCCATTCTACTGCAAAGCTTCGTTACGGCCTCACACCCCTCCGGACCAGACAAGGATATATTCTTTGCTAAGCAGTTGAACAGTATCGATACTCCCTGGCTCGTTAACGTGTCCGCGATCTCGACCTGAGAGATTTTCCATGATTAACGGAGGGAAGCATGAGATTGGTGAACGAGTTGCGCATAACGGTTCGGGTGTAAAATTGGCGATCAGATATAGGATTGTTTCAAGTGAAATTCTCTCCTATCCTGAGGCGCGTTGCAGAAAATGTGAAAAGAACATATCCACATCTGTTCATGACAATGAGAAAACTCCTAGCAAATCTTGGGACCTTCACGAGGTTTATTTTCCAAACATTTATACCGCAAGTAGTATGTGCAAGTAGTGAGGATACTTCCGAGCTCAGCTGATGAAAACAAGTAACATTCCCACATCGACCGCAGCCTAATTGCCATTGTTTACACATCGTGCTAGAACAGCTCTTTGGGCTCCTTCAAGTTCCGGGCTTATCGATTCTGTTCCACACACAGCTGGTGCTACCATCACTAGTTGCTGAGCGTTCATCCCGGGCAGAAGGCGGGTAAGATGCGTGGTGATCACCTGGAAGAAAAGTGCAGAGGCCCCTCTGAGAAACGAAACCTCACAGGGCATTCAGCAAGATCGATTCCGAACTTGTTGATGCCGTGTACCACTAAGGAGATATTCTGCGCATTGTAATCCTCACATTTCAGCGGCCCGCCTTCCAAGTGTCGGTTGAGTAATTTCCGTATCTGCTATCAACCCAACGTCGTTATCGACTTCTCAGGATTCCCACCAACTCACGAAAATATTGCAGTGACCCTCGCTGTCTCTGCCCTCACTCATACGCCTCTGCAAAGCGTTAACAACGAGAGCGACATCCCTCGGAACCATACGAGAACAGACTATTGCGCCTCGTCCTGAGAGCACAAGTTTCAGACGTGCTCGGTAACTGTTTTAAACTCGTCTTACTTGTGTTTAAACAAAAACTATGAGATTCCAATCAGCGCTCCCACAAAGTTCTCAGGGAAAGTAGGAATACCCAGTGTTAGAATATATATTCACTTGCCTCAGCTGAGCTCAGGACTTCCCTCACAAATCATAGGAGTTTACATACGAATTCGGGTATATGAATCGTAGGAGTGTACAGAAACCAATTACAATTTGTTGAATTTTCCTCAGAATCTTCACAAATCTCACTTACACATGTAGTTGACCATGTGCATATTTTCCCACCCCATTCCTGCCCTCTTACCCAGGAGCTTCCGCCAAGTCACATCATCATGGGGACCATTCCGACTGCATCTATACATCATAAACGACAGTGTGGCTGAAGGAAGAGATAATAACACTTGTTTTCGTCGCCTCAAACCATAGGGGCTTCCTACTGTGTGATGCCACTGGGATTCCTGCCAAGGTTTCATTGCCAACAGGCATCCCACAATCCGATACCGCTCGGGACATTCCCCGCATGCTTTGGTGGGAAATAAGTGACCGACGCATAAAGGAAAAAGAGAAACTCAGAACGTGGCCACTCTCATTCGGCTCCAGCAGGAGCTTCCACCTAAGTTAAACGGATTTCAAAGGTAAATAATAACGAGCTCGGCTCGTCGAGCCGGAGTGCTCATGCATCAGAAATGGTAGGTTTTACTCGAACTCAAATCTGAACGGTTATTCACACAAGTCGTATTATTCTCCTCCCTAACACTTATCCTACTTTCTACTAAATGTATTCATCGTAGTGTTGTCCTAGCTAATACCACAGAGATGTCAGTAGCTAAGTGAGGTCACATCGCGGACCATACATCAAATCTGACCACCCTTATCGGCAATTATACTTGACGTTGTACTACGACTCTCAAAAACATACCACAACTATAACGGTGAGGTCCTCAACGTTGTGCCTAAAACACAAACAACTATCCCTCACAATAACGCCCAGTCAGGCGCTTGCCTCGGACACAGCTTCTACACTTGGTGGGGTCCACTTAATGTTGCCGAATGAAGCTACTCCCGAGATCCCAAAGGCTCCCTTTCCTCCTCGGCCCTTATATCCACCATAGTAATATCCAGAATAATTCGGCTTATGATATGCACTAGAGTAGCCTCCAGCCCACGACGGGGAAAACGATCCCGTATAGTATCTGTGAAGATTAAATCTGATATAAATAATAAAATGGAGTTTCACGTATGATATGAAAACACTAGTGAAAAACATACTCCACAAACCATTGCATAGCGCGAATATCGGCTTTTCGCAGAAAATTACGCCACGTATCCTCATGTTAGTTCGTCTCATAATATCATATAATTTACCGATAGCCACACCTATACCTAGTGATATATCAAACGAAGGAGAACTCACAACCCTATGCATAGGTTAATGATAACGTCATAACAATATTGATAATAAATACGATAACATATATTCATAAATATATAACACAGTGGAGTTTCACCCGTTTAACGTGAAGTATTGTAATACTCCATGTAACTTCTGAGACGTGTATGTCTTCACAACCGACAACACAATATCTCCCTAGTAAATATGTTTTTCACTAGTGTTTTTATATCACGGCTGAGTTAACTCCAGTGAGTTGAGCCACAACAAACCGTAGCCGCATAAGTGAGGACAACGTGTAGTCCCGACTGCTACCCGGAAGCCATCGCGCCTTTTCCTTTGCCCTTCCCTTTCCCTTTACCTCCCTTACCACCATACATAGCAGATGTTGGCGAATCATTGTACCGTACCTGATATCAAGTTTGTCGCGCGCCACAAAATACAGAGATTCGCCCCTACAATTGAAAGGTAAATCGCAAGGCTACAGGGTTCGATCTAAGGACGAAATCTCGCTCGCCCTCGGACATTTTCTAAGAAAGTTTATGCCATTTTCTAAGGAACTTCTGCCTTTCTCTAAGGAGCTTCTGCCTTTTTCTAAGGAACTTCTGCCTTTTTCTAAGGAACATCAGCCTTTGTCTAAGGAGCTTCTGCCCTTTTCTAAGGAGCTTCTGCCCTTTTCTAAGGAAGCCACCTCTCCACTAGTAGGTCCTTCCGGCCTTGTTTTGCAGCTTCGCCTTCGGTTCGGGTTTCGGGTTGCCCTGTCCGGTTTTGGGTGGGGTTTCGGGTTTCCCTTTCTCCGCTTTCACCTACAGTCCTTTCTTTTCTTTGCGGTTTTGCGGACCCCCTTCTACTACGCAATGCTTCTTAACCTTTCTCTGAAGGCTTATCAGTTGGTAGTTAATAACTGATACCTTTGCCGACTTCTTCAATTCTCGAAATCTTAGCTTTAATCGAACTTTAATAACGATAACTCAGCACTTTACAACCTTATATTATCGTTACCCTCCGCCTAGCTGGAGCTCGAGACTTCGGAATTCAGTTCCATACGCTACTATACAGATAAGTACACTGAAGGGTACCAAGAAAAGCCAATCGGCGGCTACCGTGCTGCTAGTACGGTAAAGTGATAAAAATGGGCGAGCGAGATTGTTCCATTGGGAATGGAGATCTTCCTTAGATTTCACCTTTTAACATTCGCCCTACTGTCTCAATGTGGAAGTTTATGTTTGATTTCCTCAGAACGGAACTCGTAAGTTACCTCACCATATTATGAAAATCCACACGATTTTGGGTAGGGGTGTACAAAAACCAACGATGATTTCTCATAATTTCCTCCGAATTTCCATATTTTTACCAACACATGTAGTTGACCATGTGCATATACTCAAATATAACTACCTTCTCGGGGCCCTTCTCAAAGTACCGGACACCACCAGCCGGCTCCGCAGTGAGAGTAACCCAGCCGAGCGGAGCCGGAAAACTCGGATGAGAGGGATGGCGGATTTGTATGCGAATGATGCCACTTTGAAGCACCTGCGCGTGACATAATGAAGATTTAACATCAATCACGTAAACCATCTAATATAGTTGACGATAAAGTGCCTTCGAGTCATAACTAGAGACCTCCAGAATTCTTACTATCCGTTGACCGCACTGTTCCACGATCTCGCCGTTGGTGATGGAGGCAACAGGAGCTGAGTCCGGCTCGCAAGTTGCCCGGACTAGAGCATCTCCTCGGATGGACCGCCACTTGTATCCATCCTCATTCCCTAAACAACACTTGCCATTTAACAAATTCAATATGGAAAAATATTCACATGCTCACCGACATGAGTTGGTGCGAGTATGAAAATTCTGAAGAAATTTTGAGAAATTCTTCTTCTTATTTCTACCCGAAGTCACGTGCAAACTCCTATGATAAGTGGGGAACCTACTTAGCTCAGCTGAGGTAAGCGAACATATATTCCAACACTGATCAACTTTATCTTCTCGTTCTTACTTTGCGGTGTCGTCACCGGCGGTACGTTGAAAGAATTCCGACGAGACTGCGGTTGTGTCGGAGGGGGTAACGGCGGAGGAGGAGGCTGCCGATTAGCGACCATCGAACTCCCATTTCGAGCCTGGGCCACATACCTGCGAGACCATGCCATGCCCTCAACATCATACGAATATTATCGCAATATTAAGTTGTTGATATCTATCTGGTTATTATCATTCGTTAGTATGTAATGGAATTCCACGACCGTGATATGAAAAACACTAGTGAAAAGCATATTTCACGACTACTGCATATCACCGCGAATATCGGGGTTTTCGCAGAGCATTACGCCACTTCACGTAAAACCGGTGGTGAAACTCCAATATATCACTAGATAATATGATATAAATATAATAAAATTCCTATAGTATTGCTCCCTACCCTCCTCCCAACTGTTGCTCAACTGGTGGCAGACCCCCAGGCTGGGGGGCGCGTAAAAGAGGGGGCCGATAAAGGGCTGGCGTCGGGGACCGAATCAAAGGACCAAGAGTGCCCTCTGCAGCGCTCTGACCAGGAGAAAGACGTCTGAAACAATCAGCATATCAGACGCAACAAAACAGAGTGAAAACCATCGGCAATTTCCTACCCATTAAGTGAGGCCTCGCCAAGTGACCTCTTCTCAGTGGCAACAGCCCTTTGGTTTAGCTCTTCCCGTCCGACAAGTCGAATGGGATTTCTATTCTCATCCTGGGTCCGCACAGGTGTGCATACTCTCTTGGCATTAACCGCATCAGCCTGCTGAGCGATGCCTCGCATTTCTCGACGCCTAAATGTTAGAAATGCCCTCACCGGGGATCGAACCCGCGTGTAACGCTTACGCTATCTTGCTCGGTCCATCTGAACTGCACGCATGCTCATCCTCCTCTACCCCTCTTTTCGTCCCGTTGGTGGTGACCTCGGGACACGACGAGCTCGCAGGGGCCTGCCCAGTGGCCGCTCGCAGCGCCTTTGAAAAAAGCCCACCACCTGAGACCAGCGGGAATCCCCAACAATTCGCATTCTAAAAAACGAAATTTCTCATATGCGTTCACAGTGTTGGAGGAATACATGTCTGCTTTCCTCAGCTGAGCTCAGGAGTTTCCTCACATATGAAATTTCCAAAATTTCAATATTGTCATCGAAACATGTAGTTGACCATGTTCATAATTTCCCACACCGCCACCAACATATTTTTAGGTCTAATGTGATTTTCGGTATCCCCAGGTCCCCACCTCGGGGCGGGGCTGCCTTCTTGGACCTCTTCACAGGGTGTGCCACGCCATGCTCCTCACAGTACTCGATCAGCCACTCCACCTGAATATCAAAGTTCATCAACTCCGCAGACGAAGACTAGAAACACTCACAAAGCTCTCCGCGTTCTCCTGCAAGAACTGCTCCATCTCAGCCACCATCTCGCTCACTGTAGCCTGTGTTTGCAACACGCACGCTGCGTACCTGCATTCAGAACTTCACCATAGGTTCGGATCGCCCTCGAGGAAGGGGGTACGGGCACCCTATGCAGTGTAGCGATACGAATATGTAAAACATTATCAGGCAACTTCAAGTGGTCCAGCGTGACAAGCAAAAGGGAGATAAGATGATGGCTGGAATAGCTGTAATACGGATCCTATACATATGGAGGATGAACAGTGGGTGATCTACTACTCCAATACGCCTGGCAGGACTTTCCTTGCCGCATAGTACAAACTCATTTACGGTAGAATGAGTGTTCCCTATTCTCCCACATCGCATTTGAACAACAATCCATAAACACATTCTTCCTTACTCTGCCAGCGTCGCCCTATGCTCCTTAGAGGCCATCCCTTCTCCGTAGCTCATAAGCTGCTCCGTAACTGCTTCCTGAACCGCAGCCTCTTCTTCAGGGGTCAGGGCTGATGAAGACGACGACGAGGCCGACGCGGAGGTGGTGATGGCGTTAACGCGACGTGACGGTGCCGCCGATGCCCTAAGGCTTTCCTCAGCCGTCGGTCGCATCGTCATTAGCGTCGAAGCTGCAGCACCCCCCGAGTCACGTATCAAGTCACAACGCTGAAAACTCATGTAGTGGAATTGAAACCTTCCCTTTATGCTCAGAGCAGTGACTTACAGAACTCCCACTCGTGACAACTACTATAGGGAAAATAACAATATTGACGATTGACCTCACCTGGGACCACACAAGTGGCGTTTAAGGAGAGCGTAGGGAGTTCCCGATCCTTCTTCCTCTTCAGCAGCAACAACGACAATCCTACTCTAATATAGAGCACCACGAGAGGGCTCATCGACTTGCCAGAATGTTTGAAAGAGACAGCGAGCAAAAAATAATAAAACATCACCAGTCGGCATACGGCGACAACAGGGCAAATATGTGGACGGATTGATGACGATAACAACAACAGCAGTAACCTCAGCTTCTCGCGCCACGAAATTCGTTCATTACGAATTCACTGCACATATCCCATCGACCATGATGATGATCAACCATCGGCGCACTCTTCAACTCGTGATCAGGGCCTCGGGCGTCGAGGAGAGAGAAAGGGCACCACCAACATTCTATGTAAGAAGGGCCCTCTACACCATACCATACTGTAAACAGAAGTGATTTCAGCGGCGCGCGGTACGGCCCAGTTTCCCTTTCAGAATTAGCATCAAATGGCATCATCAAAAGGAGGATGAGTCGTGCAGTAAACCAACGTGAATGGTACTACTCCAAGTCGCTCACTTCTACAGCGGACGAGCGCTTGTAAAGATAAGAAGAACATACGTGTTGTTCAGAAATCAAAAACGGAGCTTCCCATAGAAGAGAACCACCAAAGTAGCCATCGTACTTGCAGTCGATGAAACCATCAAACTCTCACATAGGAAGCACTGTTCGGCCAGAATACTATCAGCACATTTACAAAATATTTTCACAAGGTAGACCCATGAGCCAACACCACCCCAGAGGGCACCAGCGCTCTTGACGAGCTGTCTTAAAAGGGACGGCGCGCGAGGGGGAAAATAGGAGGACTAGGACCCGCTTGCAATGATACACGCATTCATAATAATAACAACCATGCCTCCCCTATTGACCTCTCGGGCGCCGAGGCAGAGTGCTGGTTCACTGGCAAGTCTACAGCGTTTTCGAATATATAATGATATTAGTCATAATGAGGCAATGCATGAGCGCCCAAACCAGGTGCGCCCATTAATACAGCAAAACTAGATTTCACAATGTGATGATGATGATGATGTTGATCATACACTACTTATAGAATTAGGATCTGAACATGGAGTGGTATAGATTCGTGTCTCCACAGAGGGGTGACCCTACTTAGCCTTGACCACCACAGGGGTGCGACACCTTCCACACTGCCTTAGGGATCCAGCTGGGACGAAGTAAGCCTGAGCAACATAGAGTGTGAAACTTGAATGCCGAGTGATGTTGGCCACTACCGACAAGCCAAGAACCATCGGTCCTATTTTCGGGTCGACACCTATGATGTCCACAAGACTACTGCACTTCGACGACGATGACGCGGCTGCTGCGGCACAGGACGGCGTTGAGGACGGAAAGGAATTCACTAAAGTGATAACTCACTGATAAGACTACTACCAACTACCGATAAGTGCAAGAATCTGTACCACAGATGTGTCACCAATTCGACGCGTTGTGTCACCAGAATTTCTCCTAGGAGCCTCCTTGGCAGCCGGCTGCTGCTGCTGCTGCTGTTGCCTATTCCGTCTCAGAGTGAAGTCACTCTGAGGTAGAGTATCATCAACCAATAGCCGATCGAGCGTATCGCCCTTCAACAGCCACTCAAGCTCCCGACGCTGACAAAAAATCATATATTCCCATACCACTCCTTCTCGAAATCATACTGGTGACTACCAGTTCAGTCGGTGTCGGTGCCGATGCGAACAGGCAGGTCCTGGCTTCCACGCCTCCTCGACGCAACGCCTGGGCAACCGCGACATCTTCATATCGGTCGCCTATGAGCACCTGAGAGAGACCGCCATAAACACAATTTTCTTTCTCCTATTATGTGACACAGCGCGGTAAAACATGCGATTTTTTGCGGAAATTTTTTGGGAAAAAATTGTTTTTCGCTGCTGTCGACCTCTATACGAGTTAGCCTATATACTCCCATTATTAGTGAGGAAACTCTTCCTTGCTCAGCTGAGGAAAACGAACATATATTCCTCCGATAGCCATACCACTCTTCGGGGAACTGGCTTCAAAGTCGGCACTATCGAGAGCACTGTCGCGAGCTTGGTCGACTTCAAGCCCTTGTCCTCAGAAAAATACAGTCTGCGGAATTTCCTACTAATCACCGACAGTTCTCGACAATATCTGCCAAAGATTCCTCCTCCACCACCGCACGCGGAAGATTTTTCTCCCTACTCTTTAGAATGCAATATAGTGACCTTAGCGAGCAAGGGCACGACCTTGGGCATGTACAGTTGACACGACTCGTGCACCCACCCCGGAGAACTGCTTGTTAATATGAAAACATACGGGCTTGCCAACACTATTGCGCGCGACTAACACCACCGTATGCACGCCGAGAGGGCAGGCGGGGTTAGTTTACTAGAACTTCAATAACGATGTCCTGTAGCTGCCCTAAGGACTCTTCTGAGCCTGTCGAGTCCAGATTGCCCTCAGCTAAGAACGTTGATGGTAGAATGGTGTCGTCCCAGTCGCAAATCTGAGGTATATAATCGTTCCACTATCCCTCACCGTTTTACGACCAATCGACACACAGGGGCGAAAACGTCACAGACTCCCCCCACCCGGGACGTACAATCACAGGCGGGCCGCAAGACTCCGCCTGGCTATCTCGAATTGTGATGTTTGCAGGAGGCAAAGACCCACAAATTGCCATTTTGAATTCTACTATTTGAGATTTGCGCAATCGGTTCAAAAATGGTAAAGCCGAATCGCTTCGCTCCGCTGTGACACGTGCAAGGAAGATGATGGGTACGACGTATCTTGGAGGTCGCCATTGAAGATTCAAAACAGGTCCGTCTATGTACCACTGGTTTGTCTCTGTAACAGTCATTCACATTCTGTCATGTCGAAGGAAGAGCGACCATCTGAAGAAGTAGCGCCACTCGACGGCTCCTTTTCATCAGCTTCAACGGACGTTGGTCAACGACACACTTTACAGGCGATTTCATATCCCCTACCGAAGATGGCTGAGCGAGATGCCCAACTCGCTGATGAGTTCTTGAGGTACGCTAATTCTCCGACTAGGTAGTATTCCGCATGTTGGTCTCAGGCAACTAGATGCTAAGGCCTCTAGTACCGTTTTCGACAGTCCCCATCGGTGCTCGAGGACTGTCGACCGGAAGAGGAATCATGCGAGAAAACGGTGACACGCATGATGAATTGAATCTGATGAAGTCCTGTAACTGCTCAGATCATCGACCACTCGGCCGAGTAGTTTACAATCCCTCACCTTGGAAGTGGAGACCATCGATGAGAAAATCTCGGAGGCTCGGAAAATGGGGCTCCTGAGCGATCCAAATGTTGGGAAAGCCACCGCTGTAAGGTCAATGGCAATTCTCTCTCTTTACTCAGCGTTGGAAAAAATGAGATTTTCCTCATTTCATCTCAGGCTGGTCCTCCCGACGTGTTAGTGAATCTGACTAGGGACAGAAGCTTGACCACGCCCAACAGCGCCAACTACCTTATGACGCCTCCAAGCCTTATGGACTCTCCTACACCGGTAGTATACCGCATTCTCATCGAATCACTACTGACCGGTCCCCCAGGTCCTCCTTCATGCCAAAGTCATTCGTTTCCTATGGGCATGGATTCCCCTGGGGAGTTACAGACTCACTTACTACCCCGCTGGGAAATTTCTCCCGTAATAAGGGCAAAGTGACGACGCACATTGTGTTATCAATTCTGTCAGGTCCTCTCAGTTGACTCCTGTACGGTTCAGTCCGCTCTGGGGACAGCAAAATGATGGTACCGGCGGTGCGGCCTCCGAAGGCATCATGGTAGTAAGTCTATGGCATGTGCATAGACTTGATGTTTTCCCGATCAGCCCAATAGCGCCTTCAGCAGGAACAGTTCTACTGGCCGGCAGGGTAGTCGGAGCGTATGGAGTCGCCATGCTGACCGCTTGCTCCTAGCTGTACGTTTATGATCCTATTCTGTCGTTTGAGACTGTTCTTGGCAGCTCGGTTCGCCGGAGTAGGCAGTGTTGTGAAATATGTCTATGGTCAACCACATGTGTTGGTGAAATTTTCGTAAATTCTTGTGCACTTTCACCCGAATTTTTTGGTGAATTCTTGCACTTTAGGAAATTCCTGAGCTCAGCTGAGGAAAGCGAACATACTTTCTCCGGTAGTTCGTAATGTGAAAGTGTCTTTCAATTCGAATGGAAAAATGAACTCTCTCACGCTCTCCGGAGACGCACTTGTACATTCGTGGGTGGAAAATTTGGTCAACTCTGTTATCTCTGAGGCCTTCCTTAGTAACACCTGATATCAATGTATTGATTACAGTTCCACCCGTGATATGAGAAACATATTTTACGACTACTGCATGGCGCGAATATCGCGTTTTACACCGAGTTTAACGTCACTTCGCGTAAAACGGGTGAAACTCCGTCATTGATATTAGGAGAGCGTTTATATATACACAGTCTGCATTAGTAATAAAGATATTCAGGTTGATAATTTTGTATGGTGGTTTAGGTCACAGAAAGCTACCCGTCGTTTGGCATCGACAGGTTGACATCTTCTGGCGCGCCCTCAGAATTCTACCGAGGGGAACATACGACATTCGTGGCTCGGCGGCGTCCCTTGTCACTCTCCGCTCAAACAGTTCTGGGTGTTCCCCTCGTCTCAGCAGTGTGGGCAGTAGCGGTGTAGGAGGTCGTCGGAAGTGACCGAGTTGGGCTCATCTGGTCAAAACTCAGGACTTTCACGTGGCCGCAATTCTTATCGATCCCTCGAGCGTTCAGCGGATCCGAAACGGTACTTATAATATGGCTAGTCGCCCTAGTCTTATGGATAATAATATGCACCATTCACATCTTCTTGCTGAGACCAGTAGTGACCCTACTGCTTCTGCTTGTCTATTGTCATTTCCAATCCTTTAGTGGCAAGTTACCTGTTGCCGCGGTCGTCGGATAGTTATCGAGACTCGCTGGAAATCGATAGCTACCAGGTTGGTGGAGCTCCTCAATTCTCCTCCACCAATGCCGATGCCCGGGAAGTCTCCTTCACCATTGAACCCCCTACCTCGAGATGACTTCAGACAAGTAAAGGCCGGTCTGCTGTGGCCCGTCCAGTATTCTTTTCAGTGGAAGTCATTGATCTCGACGATCTTCGTTACAGTGGGCTTCATATGTCTATTGGTCACCTGTATCATGACACTAGTCATGTACGTACTCCTTTACTTCCCCTTATCCACTGCTCAGCTCTCAGGTACAAACAATGTGTTGAATGTGGAGGTTGTAACCCGTCTAATCCTGATGGACGATTAGTCTATCCTGATCCAGCGTGCTATGACTACTATATCGATTGGATACCAGGTGCCACAACAGACCACAATGGTCATTTACCGACCCCTCAAACTCGTCCATGGTTTCCAGTAATGAGCGACAGCATATGCCGACTATGATAACTCTTCAGTTAGCTTCTCGTTTAGGTCCCAACCTCGCCGCCGGCTCAGCAGGCAACTTGACCTTGTAACCTTTCAACTGTACATTGATAACGCTGTGTTCATATTTCGTCAAGCAACTACAATCTACATTGCCAGTGCTTGTTTCTCTGAGCATCAATTTTCACTATTTGCATAGTCGCCTTGAATGACTATCACCCCACAGTTGCTTCTCTTGCTGCCCTCTAGTGTTGTGCACACAGTGATCATTCAGGAAGTGAAATAGTCTGATGGAAGAAGTGACATCTTCGTTTCTTGCCGCCAGTAGCTTTCCGTTTGGGAATACCCTAGGATTCGGCAGTAGGAGCCATACCAACTTCATTGCCCTTTCCCTCTCCTTTTTCTCCTCCTGAGCTCATCCCCATCCCGTACACAGACCCTCGTTTAGATAACAGACATACTTCATATACCGTCATGGTGGTCATACATCCTGTCCCCTTCAACATAAGAGCTCTTCACAAGATTCGAACCAACGACCGTCAGCATAGGAACTATGCGCTCTACGATTAGACCACTTTAGTTACATTCAATCGAAATGTCGCCATTCTCGACCACCGACTTGGTGTATTTGCTTCTTCTGCGAGCATTTCGGCAACCTCATCCTCTTGTCGGCAATTTCATCCGATGGAAATGAGTTCAACTGGTCATCTGAGCGCTCGATTTCAAAATGTACGGGCACGACATAGATTCCATCAGGCACTCCGTTTCGCCTCGTTACTCATTCGTATTCGTCTGCACTACATTTGACGATACCTGCTGCCCACAGTTACTTATGATGGGTCTAATGCGAATAGTCTACCACTTGAACCCAGCAACTCCCATCGCAGGCCCCAATCGCATCATCATCATCATCATCATCCAACTCTACTGAGTTATTCAAGGCCAGCTAGTGCTCTCTGTCCAAATTGGGCACTTGTCGTCTGTTATCATTTAACTCTCGGATGGCCAGAGAGGGCGCTTATTTAGGTATCGGCATAGACCTAAATACCGCCAAGTCTTCATCCATCTCAGCTCGAAGGCCACACCCTCTCCCCCCGACTTGGAACTTAACACGAGTATTCAATACTGTAACGCTGGCTTTGATATAATTGTAAGTGTAGTTCGTTCTAATGGTCATCCAAACGTGCTCACTGAGGAGGTCGACCTGTCGCCGCTTGCTGTCTATGCAAAGATGCGTAGTACTGCTGCCACGCTGCAGCCATACCATAGGCACTACCATAAGCAGACGAAGATTCCTGAAGAGACATGTAGTCCTCAAAGGCAAAATTAAATCATACCCCTGACGCTCCCTGACCACGTGCTGCTTCTGCAGGAGGTGAAGGGCCCCCAGCTGGTACAGGGGACTGCTGAGGAGTCATGTATCCCTGGGCTGGCTGCTGTCGCTGGAGTAAACCTCCACCATATTGATGCGAGTAATAGCCTCCACAAGGACCTACGATATCAACATTACCAATCACAAGGTATTCGGGTGCACAGACCTCCAGCGTATGGAGGTGGCTGTTGCTGGTACTGGGGCATCATACTATTCCCAGCGCTGTAGCCTTCCATCTGGGGTTGCTGCCAAGGCTGGCCAGGAGGTGTCGAATAAGCCTCTGGTGGTCCACCTTGCATACCATAGGACCGAGCCGTGGAAGGAGGACCTTGCTGCTGCATATAGGGCTGTGGGCCTCCACTCCCCATCCGTCCACGTGGAGCACCATCACCACTCCCAAACAGGTAAGGAGGGAGACCATTGGCCGGTGCTGCCTTCACTACGTGAGCGCCCTGACACAACTACCTTCCGAGACCATCGACTCCATACACCTTACCGCCAGTCTCTCGTTGATGAATCCAACCACAGTTATGATCCCATCGTGTGGCCCCTGAAGGGACACTTCTCGGTACGGGCCAGCGCCACTCTTGGAAATCTGTATATCGCAGCTACTGTCTTCCTTCAACCGATTGATGATCTCCCCACCACGACCGATGATGGCTCCAACACCATTGGATGGAACCTGATAGTAACAATACACGGCACTCACACTCCTCACGATAAAACCGGAGGACGATTCGCGCTTGTTACGGTATGGCTAAGGCCACTGTAAAACCGATTTGTACAAAATCGGTTTTATATTCTCCCGGATTTTCGCTGTAAACAGTCCCATACAATTCCACCGGATTCATGCGAGACCACGAATCAGGACGAGCCTCGAAGCCAGCGTGCAATACACACCAGCACTCTTTCGCCTCTTATCACCTCGAGTATGCAGAAATCAGCAGCAGCAGAGTTGTCGTTCCAGGCACCCTTTCCCCCACCCTTCATAGGGCCTCCAACTCTGCTACCACCAAAACCACCCCCACGCTGGTAACCCGCATTATAAGAGTTATCAAAACCTCCTCTCTGGTAGTCGTCGTAGTCCATCCTACGCCGTTTGGTCTCATCGTAGGATGGAGTCGAGCTGAGTCTCTTCTGAGATCGGACCTCCGGGTGGCCAACTTCATATTCAGAAATCAAGTCCGCGCACGTAACCGTGCCAGCCACAACCTAGAACCAGAATATCAATACCCTCCCTATGGTTTCCGCACCCACCTTGTTAACCAACTCTTCACATTTATTCACAGCCTCCTCAGTGCCAACACAATTTACAGTTCGGGGCATGCCCCTAGTAGACCCGTGGTACTCTGCTGGTGGTATGGCCTGTTACAACATTTTAGTTTAACCTGACACGCTTCGCTCCGCCTGCTATATTACCCTAATTTCGAGCCGAGCTCCGGAACGCTCTTTGATTCTAGCCAAGGCGACGCCCTGTGGTCCGAGCACCTCCGAGACCTTGCTGTCTGGAATTTCAAAGAATCGTTGAATTTCACCATCCTTGGGCTCCAGCGGAGATATTTTCTCGCGAATGGCGTCAACTGCAGCCTAAATTTAGGGAGCCATAACGAATAGAAATACCCCCCAGTGAAGTAAGTGACCGACTTGCAGCTGCTCCTCACTCTGGGCATCAACATAGAAAATGGTATAGCCCTGCTCACGCGTCGACTGGTCGCCCTAAGAGCCAAACGAATGACCCCAACTGAAAATCTGCGGGAAAATTGGTACGACAGCGTGCATGAGCACTGAGAACGCCTGGAAATAACGCGGCTCATTTCCCATGAAACGTATAATATCCTCTGGCCGCCGACGGTGACATTCCAAGACAATAGAGATTGCCAACACTAAATGCCCAGCAGCATAACTTCTTCACATAGCGTCACTAGCCACAACACGTGACTTTATTAAATTCATATCAGTGACCCCGATCCGAAAGCGTTCGCCATTCAGATTCCCCATATTCGTCCGCTTGCTTTATTTCGGCGCATCGGCGCACCCTTCAGTGGCAGTGTCCAACTCCTAGACCCTGTTTGCCGTCCTTGGGAAGATTCTCAGACCTCCGGAGCTGCTGCTGCTGCTGCAAACCTCTGATATGATCACTGCATAAGGGACCAGCACTCACCGACCAGCAGAGACCCCATATGATTCGAGGCCGCCCTCTGAACCATCACTGTGAGTTCCTATATCCATATTTCTTGTTGCTCATTTCCGCGTAGGTGACGCAAGGC